ATCCTATCTCCCCAGGTTAATAACCATTAAAAATGAACTTGTTTGTGATCTATGACCTCATACTGTTATCTTTTGGCTTCAAAGCAACCATACCCTTTAATATGTTTTTACCTTGTTGCTCAAAAGTAACATAACTCTCAAGTAAACAGAGAAAAAACTTTAAAAGACAACTTTAAGAATCAATGTCCAGTCAGGAATTTGTCTTTATGAAGCTGTAAGCAGTTTAATAGGAATTTGCAAGAATAGCCACATTCGATTATACAGATTAAGAATATTGATTAATAATTGATGGTGATAAAAAATAAAATGCTCTAATATACTGACCTATCTTTCTAATTAGGTGATGTGGCATTTTCTGTTAATTTGGAGACGGCAGGACAGGTTGGAGCAGTTGGTTTTATCCCCATGGGGTGCATCAGATTGTTGCCTGAAGGGAGCTTCTCGGAGTTGGGCTGGGTTCAATTTGGTCTTCGGTCCTTAGACTCRCCGGAGGGGAATCTGTCAGCTTGCCCCAGATGAGATGATCTTTGGATCTGCCTTCTCCTCTGCTCTCGATGTCCTGCTGCTTCTTCTCCGGTCGATGGCCACAAAGACGCTTTACTGCTGGACTGCTTGGCCTTTTATACTCTCTCTGGGCTCATTCGCACCCCCCCCCTCCTTCCTTTCTGTGGAAGGGTGGGGACTTTCCATCATGTGCTTTTCTGTACTCTCCAGAATGAGGTAATTCTGCTGACTTTCTACTAGGGACTGCCAGGGACTTTTTCTGTGGTGAGTTAAAGCCCACACATGTGTTTTTCATTATCCCAGGAATGTGCCCTGCCTTTCACCATCCCAGAACAGCACACACTCAACCTTCCTTCATTTTAAGACACACTCTGATTCTTCCTATCTTATATCACCATTTTATATTTGAAAACACAGTAATCATCATAGTACATTAGTTAATCACTCACATTGCAATTAAGCATAATCATTACTCAAGTTACATATGTATTTTTGCCAGCATTAATATTGATTAAATACAAATCATTTCACTTCCTCCTTGTCGCCTCATTTTCTTCTCTTCTTGGCCTTCTCCTCGATTCTTTCTGTGGCTCCTTTTCCTGTCACGCTCCCTCCTCTGCTTGGGGTCAAGTGAAGGCTCCATAGGTCTGGTTCCAATTCTAGTGATGACCGAGCTGTCGAGTCTCTTGACACCCTCTCCTTGGAATCAGGCCTAGGAGCCCGGGAAAGAAGATCAGGGGGATCAATGGTTGGATCTTGGCAGGAACATACGGTGGGTAACGGGGACGTGGTGCAGGGGGTCCTGACCGAGTGAAGGAGGTTTGGGCCTTGGGGGTCTTGGGGGGCCCATCTTATTAGGTCGGTATCTTTTATCATACCCTTCTGCCTTAGGCTGATGCCAGGTTTTCACCGCCTTATCCACCGCGGCACCATATGAGGTCCTGCCAGTGCTGGATTCTTCTTTCTGGTGAGAGGTGTTGGGGCCCAGTGGAGAGTGWTTCCCTTTGCTCTCTTCTGCCACTGCTGGGCCCAACCGTGCCTTAACAGGGGTAGAGGGGTGACTTTCTTCCACACTCCGAGGATGGGGGTGTCTGTAGCCACAGACAATGAGGGGCGTGGAGCCACCAGCTCGAGATCGAAGTCAGAAGGACCAGGGGATAGGGTCAGTAGGTCACCAGGGGTTTGGTGGGAGGGGAGAGCTGCATTATCTGCAGCAGTTGTATCTGCCACTGCCTGTGATTGTGTGGGGGTGGGATCTGGCATGGATGGGGTGTACCTTGGGGAGGGTGGGTCCAAATCGATGGTCTCCAGTGCTGGAACAGGGCCTTGAGGCAGCACATCCTTAGAATTATCATTCAGCCAAGCAATGAGGTCAGGGTCATGG